ATATATATATATATATATATATATATATATGCTATATATATGCTATATATGCTATATATATGCTATATATATATATATATGCTATATACATATATGTGTTCATACATGTATGTATATATGTATACACACACATATACACATATATAATGGGTAAACATACACTGTATATATACATACATTTGTATAAATATTAGTGCATATATACTGTACGTGTGTCTATACTATATGCTATATCACTATACTATATATGATTGTTAAAGAACGATAATATCTTTTACAGCACACAACGTTTCCTCTGGTTCACTGGTTATGACTTACAAGTTTATTGCTGGGGTGAGCGTCTTGTCGTCTGTTACAGTTCGTGGGTTTGCCAAAAAACACAGGCATACTGCCTTTAATGCATTAAGAGTTGCAGCGGATTCAAGTGTCAGCTATGACAGAGTGTCTGACTACTCTGCCAGTTTGAGGGCCTGGCTACTGGAGCAGTCGACTCAGTGCACTGTAGCCTTTATCCTTTATTTACATGCAACTTTGTGAAAGCCAGTTTGGTTGAATTTTCATGCTGAAATAGTTGCTCTTAATTAAAATTAAAAAATAAAATAAAATCTCTCCCACCATTTTGAAAGCTGAAGGTTTAAACGCTGCACCAGGTCTAAATGGAAGTATACATCCAAACAGGCCACCCACCAGGACAGAGGGTCTAAGGAATGCTTTTTACTGGATTGTTAAGCCCCCCTCCACACACCACGCCCTTAAACTCTAACCCCATCCTCTGTGCTCAGACCTACACTATAAAGTGAGGGTGGAATGTGTTGGGGGTACAACAGTATCACCACCAGCTACACTGTGTGTGGGAGCACGTCATGTTAGAAATGAAATGATGTTTCTGACACTGTATATGTGACATAAATGTGTGTGCTTGTTTTTTTGTTTGTTCCAGAAACATTCAAGGATTTTTATTGTGGAACCACACTGACTGAATGAGCACAAAAAAGTACACAGGTGCGCTGTCTTTTATCTCATATATATATATGAAAAATATGTTTGTTTATTTTTTTAATTGTCATGAATCAAGTGCTTATTTATTATTAGGGTTACAATATTCAACAAGGAACAGTGTAGAATTTAATTCACAATATACATAAAATAATACAGGGAGCATCAAGGGTCAAAGTTCTGTTCTGTTCTGACTCTTATGACAGTTTATTGCATGCTTTACACACCATGTTTTTATTATTATTAGCTATTGAAATGCATCCAAAATTGTAGTACTTTTATGACAGTGTGTAGCAGCTATTTTTTGTCATTTTTCTCTCGCTCCTTCTACGCCCCAGTTTCTTGCAATGTCTGTTATTCACGTCTTCCTGTGGACAAAGGCACACACTAAACAAACAGCTTGGGTACAGAGACTAGGAGAGAGAGAGAGAGAGAGAGGGAGAGAGAGAGCGAGAGAGCTGTTTTATTCATGACCAACCAATCACAAGTATCCACTGTCACTGAGCAACAAACTTTCAAAATTAATAAAAAACACCTGCTGTTAACATGCAATAAAATAATTCTTGACATCAGTTAATTTACGTGTTAACGTCCCCAGTTTTATCATGTTTTTGACAGATTCTTCCAAAGCCCAATGACATTGTTTCTGGAAATAGTTTGCTACATAATTCCAAATTATGTATGTGGTGTTTTGGTACTTAAAAAAACATGTATATGGATAATGTACTGCATTGTGGTATATTTTCCTACTCTTCTTATTATAAATGGAATAATGAAAGTTTTTTTGTTTGTTTGTATTGTTTTAGTCCAGAGGTGGGAGTTATGTCAACAGGTGCCTAAAAGAAGCAGACCAAGTGGGCCAGTTAGTTTTTGATAGACAGCATTTAATAGGAGACGCCCTGCTTCCACAGTACTGTACTACCTGTACACATGGCAGTACCACAACCTGTGCTCATTGGACATGTTTGCAGACTCTCTGTAGACTGTAACTGGTCAAACAAAGAAAAAGCTGTCTCTATTTGCTGTGATCAGCAGAGCCACAGGTCTCTGGGTGTGTGTCTGTGAGGGTGACATGCACCAATGACATTCAAAAGGCTTGGCTGACTTAGTCCTCTTCAGGACTAGATCAGTTACTACACCCCCCTGTGGTGGTTCAACGGCAGCCCGCTCAGCCCAATATGTAACCTGTGGGCAGCAAGCAGCACAGTGGTACGGTAATAATTAAACTGTAGGCAGAGGCTGGGTGTAACTAGATTGACAGGTGATGAGAGATGTCAAGGGTGTGGACCAGAGAGTGTTGTTGCTGTTAGGTGATTGTCACGATGCCGTGATAGGATACCAAAAATTCGTATTTTTGACAGTACATTTTCCATTGATGACATTATTGTTCAAGTGTGCCATGAGACTTTCTATCTTTTTTTGCATCAAGTAATTCAAAATTACATTTTTTAGTACTTTTTCCACCTCTGGTAATAATGCACTTGTTCCTGACCATGGCAGGGTAAAAGAAGTGGGGGAATGTTAATTAGTGCTTCACTTAATTACTACACATATGTGAAAAAGTACTAGTATAACAACTATGGCCATGCATGTGTTGGTAAGCAGGCTACATCTGCATCCATTTACGTTCTTGAAAATGTTTCAGCTGGGTAACCTTCCTTTTGGGTAATCATTTTTATCAGTTGATTCTAGTTGTTTTATATTTTTAGAGGCTAGTGTTTCTGGACAAAGAGTTCATGCTTATAGCTGGATGTATTTTCTAAATCTTTTGCATGTAAAATTAATTTCTAGACTTGTTTCATTTGTCCTCACTCTGTACTGCCTTTATACCAGTAGCTGCAGCTGTTATGTTATGTAATTATAAACACTTTCATGACAAGAAAAATTGAATATGTCCCTACTTAATTGACTAAACAACTGAGCATATGTACTTTTAATTATTTTATTGTTTCTGAGCTCTTGTGTACATACAACATCAAACAATTGTGGAAACCACTTGCCTATTTGAATGCTTACTGTAATCTCCCTGTTGGTTTACTTTTTGGTTATGGTCTTTGATGTAATATTGCCTTTTATCTTTGTGATTGCTATCCATTAGATTCCTGTTATTTTTGTTTACTGCAATTATGGTTCTAAAAATAATTGAAAATCTTCAAAGTCATTCATGAATTTAGTGCAGCTGTCATGGCATAAGTCATCACAAATGCTGATAACATCATGTTCTACATGAGCTGACCCAGAATTATGGAGCAGCTGCAGTAGAATCTTCTGGTTTTTCATCGAATTCTTGCTTTTCTGGGAAATGAATAGTTTATATTTTGAGATTAATTTTCGAATGAACTGTAGTATTTAATGGTGAGTTTTGACTAATGTAAATTGGCAATGTTGGTATGGTTTTGTGGTATTTTTTGTTTTGTTTTTCAAATCTGTTTAAACATCATTGTGAATAATTTGTGCTAAAAACTCCAA